GTGTGGTTTAACTAATTCATGATGATTGTGAATGTGAAGTGGTTTAGAGTGGGTTTTTGGTTTAGCAAAATTGTGATAAGGAAAGCAACAAGTTCTAACTTCTAACACTTTCCTTCATTTCTAGTTGCATATTCGGATGTTCTTGATTATGTCATGACATTTATGTCGTATCCTTCTTTATCACTGCTCACCAAGTACTTTTGTAGTTCCTTAACATGTACTTCTCCAACTATAACAAAATCAGTGACAAATTTTTTAACTTGTTTGTGGCTTTGTGCTCAATGAAATGTCACAAAAGATGACTAGTTTCAATTGTTGATCAGTCGATTTCCATGACATAACCTGATCCTTGTTTTGTAATACTTAATTTTTTTCTATATTCTTTGTTCTATCACCCCTCCTCTGACTTCATGGTAAAACTCATGTTCTATTCCCCATATTTTAAAAGTCTTGAGCTTTCACTTTCTATAGTTTCTTTTGTTTTTTCTCTATGCATTTGATATTCTATCATGCCTTTCGAAGCGATTGTTATGGTTTCTGTACAGGGGAGCATAGCAACCAGCCCTTAGAATGGTTCGAGTATATCAATGCAGCAAATAGGAGGGATAACCGAGTGCATGATGCTTACTGCATAAATATTCAATATAAAAATGATTAAAATTTACCAATTTTAATGATATTTGAACTTACCAATTGCTACTTAACCCAAAGAATTTAAAAGCGTGTAGCCGTATACATCAGTGTAATGGATCGTTTTTCATCCTGATGGTGTTTGATCATCTTTCCAAATATGCTCATTTTATGGCTCTACCATGATAGAATTTAGGATGGAGTATGGACAACTGAATTACGCAATAAGACACTTGGGTTGAACCACATTAAAAGATTGAATCCAATTGATTAGTTAGTTCAACTCAAGAGCTTATATACCGATTATTTTGCTCTTGAATTTCAGATGTGGGATGACACTCTAACATACCACATTCTTACACAACTGTCTTGATGGATCAACTTTTCTTTGTTAATTATGTTAAACTCCATGGGCCCTTGGAAACCATTGTCAGTGATAAAGTGTTTACAAGGAATTTTAGGAAGGAATTGTTCCATCTTAGTGACACTACATTTTCCTTTTCTAAAGTTAGAGCTTGTTCTTTTCAACTTATTATTATTACATATTACTTGTTCTTATTGGAATTTGATCAGATTAGATTATAAACAACTTTAAACATAACTACAATCAGATCAGAGCAGATCAAATGATAACGTATTCCAATCAGATCTGACCAATCAGATCACGTGAAGCGCAAGCCATTAATTACCCTAAATTTGACAGCCAAACAGAGGTGGTGACAGTTGAGATGTAGGTGTGATGCCTTGTGGTGTTCTGGGTGATCAGCTACACCGTTGGGTAGATTGGCTTCTTTGGGATGAATATTGCCACAATACCTCCTATCACTCTGCACAGAAGACGAATTCACATTTTGTTTGGTTTATGTTTGTGACACTCCAAAACTTGTGACAATTGATACAGGCTTAATGAAGGTGGCTGTTCTTGAGGAGGTTATACTCTCCTATGATCTTGCAATCTGCCAAAGGTAATGGTAGATACCAAATCAGAAAAACAGAATATAACGATCACTCTATCTAAACTTACCAACCAAGCATCTCACTTAAAAGAAACTCTAATACCCAAGAAGAATGTCCAAAATCCAAATGACAAAAATATAATTCTGATACCTCATCCCTTGCTTTATGCTGTTGATTTTGTATATAAAACTGAAATACAAAAATAAAATGAGTAGTATGATGGAGAATGATAAAGAGGTACCGCAGTGAGAAGAAAAATTTACACATGGCTTTTATTGATTTTGAAAAGGCATATGACAGGGTACCAAGAGAGTATTATGGAATATGTTACAGAAAAAAGGAGTAAGGAATGCGTATATTCGTACGATTAAGGACATGTACGATGGTGCTACAACGAGCGTGAGAAGTCAAAGTGGGGTAATAGGAGAATTTCCCATCGGTGTAGGATTACATCAAGGGCATTGTTAAGCCATCTTTTTCAGTAATATTGGAAGTTCTTACCGAGCATATTCAAGAACGTGCACCATGGTGCATGTTTTTTGTCAATGACATCATCCTTATGGGCGAATCACGAAAGGATTTAAATGGGAAGTTGATTCGTGAAGACAAGCTTTGGAGTTGCATGGCTTGTGTATAAGTCGCACTAAAATAGAGTATATGGAGTGCAAGTTTAGCAATGGAAAGAGAAATAGTAACATCATGGTGAATGTCGGAGAAAATACTATACCACAGGTAAAGAGATTTAAATATATTGGGTGTATCATTCAAGACAATGGAGAAATATACGGTGATGTTAAGCCCATGATCCCATCCGGTTGGTCAAAATGGTGGAGTGCTTCAAGCTTTATATGTGATAAAAAAGTATGTTTAAAAATAAAGGAAATATTTTACCGTATGACGATTATTAGACGAGCGATATTGTATGGAACAGAGTGTTGGGCAACAAAGGATGAACATGAACACAAGGTTAGTGTGGCCGAAATGAAGATTTTTCGATGGATGAGCGGTCATACATGTATGGATAGAGTAAGGAATGAAGATATGAGAGCTAAAGATGGAGTGGCACCTATTGTAGAAAAGATGGTGGAAACTCATCTTAGGTGGTTTGGAATGTGAAGAGAAGACCAATAGGGCATTCGGTGAGAAGGGTTGATCAAATGGTGAATAGACATGTGGCTAGAGGAAGAGGTAGACCTAAGAAGACTTGACACAAAGTGGTCAAGGGGGACTTTCGCGTGAATGATCTCACTGCAGATATGGTACATGATAGGACGCAATGGCGTCGTTTGATCTATGTAGTCGACCCCACCTAGTGGGACAAGGCTTTCTTGTTGTACAAAAATTAAATGAGTAATTCTAGGAAAATATCCTTACAATCATGCCACAACAGTAATAAAGTGAGTGGTTCGTGCAACCACTAATTCCCCACTCATTTAGTTACTACTACCTCCGTCCCTGAGTATTTGTCCAGTTTTGACTTTTTTCGGTCAACTGTTTTCAACCTTTTACTTATAATTAAATAAAATATATATTATTTATTAATTAGATAAGATAATATTTTGAAAATATTTGAAATAATATATCTAATAAAACTATTTTGTATCAATATCTAATGTTATTTTTATTTAATTTGAGGTCAAAGTTTACAAATTTTGACCGAAAAAAGTCAAAAGTGGACAAATACTCAGGGACGGAGGGAGTATAATTTAAGTAAATAAAATCTAGTTTTCCATAGCTTTCAAGTTCCTAAAAATCAACAATATGTCCCCAACAATCTCCTCTTCCCATCTTTTCTCTATCACCAAGGTTCCCATGACATTGCCCGGCAATGTCATGGGATGACCCGGGGGTGCTCCGGTGCCCCGTTCGTAAAATTGACGGTTCCTACCTCCCTTAACCCTCCCAAGCTTTCAAGTTCCTAAAAATCAACAATATGTCTCCAACAATCTCCTCTTCCCATCTTTTCTCTATCACCAAGGTTCCTAGACATTGCCCGGCAATGTCATGGGAACCTTGCTCTTTTTCTATATGAGTTAGCTGGTAGTTATTCTTACCACGAACCCTATTAATACTCTATTCCTGGAAACACAACTCAAGTCGTATGGCGAGGCGAACATACATGGCAAGCATCATCCTTGAGTATCCACCCTTTACGGTCAAGGTGCATGAATGCTCCTTCATCCTTGAGTGTCCACCCTCTTCGGTCACCTTCCCTAATCTCGGGAAACTTAAATTCGATGTATTGTTGCCCCTGAACCCGTCAATATGATTTTGACTCCTCATTGCTATCATCTGCGTGAGAGTCACTAGCCTTTGTCAAGCTTAGCACTATCTGAAGCCTTAAAAAGCCGCAACATTGTTGGCCAAGATGCCCAAAGTTTCTGGATGGGCAGCGGTGATAGCCAAAGGAACAGGCGTACTGACCAAAGGAGCCGTCGGATTAATAAGATTAGAATCTGTATCTACAATCTCAAACAAGGCTCTGATACAAAATTGATAGATTCTGAGTATAAGGAATAACAATAATAGCATACCCAGTATATCCCGTTCATTTAATACCTATAAATAGATTTGCCAGCAGCATTAGAATCAACTGATAGTCTGATACAAAAGAGGATTGACAGAGTAAATTAAACAAATGGTTTTCATTTTCAGTTTCCTATTTGCTTTCCAACACAAGTATCATTGACTTTTATTTCTCCTAATACTTGGTGATTAAGAGGACAACCTGGTGCACAAAGTGTGTCCGGGCTTGGCAAGAGTCACGGGAAGGGTCTCATGTTGCATATTTTGGTACTTGAGGAATAAAATACATGCTATAAATTATCTTATTTTCTAAAAGTGTAGTATTTATTTGTGTGGTATGAGCCTACAATCAAGTATGTTTTCTATTCCCTATTCATACTCTCATAGTTACTCGAAGTAAATTTGCAGGCCAAGGCAAAGGATATTGAATTAAAAGGCCATACTGACAGTGTTGATCAATTATGTTGGGACCCTAAGCATGCTGATTTAATTGCAACAGCATCACTTGACAAGACAGTTCGATTGTGGGATGCTCGCAGTAAGTAATTCAACTGCTTGCACATTAACAGATGTTCATGGTCTGGAATTCAGGCATGACTGATTTCAGGATGTATAATTATCTCATTTCGTCACTACAAAAGAACTGAAATCAATTGTTATTAATTGATACATGATAACTGTTACTAATCAGGATTCTTTGTGTCAATAACAACCCAGTAAAATCCCATGAATGGGGTCAAGGGTGGGTGGGTGTACACATACTTTACCAGTTACCCTTACCTTGAGAGGTAGTGAGGCTGTTTCCAAAATGCCTCCCAGCATGCAGACCTGTGATTCTTTGAACCACAGAAATAAATTATAAGAGGATAAGCAGAAATGACTGGAAATTTAGGCAGTTTTCCCTGTCTTCAGTTTCTTTTTAATTCTTGTCTATATTCCACAGAGAAATCCTCTTCTGATGGAGTGAGGTTCCAAGCCATGAAATGAAATAACCAAACCAACAAGGGAAGGAAATAACTTTGCAACCTTAATATTCGAGTTAACAAATGCTTGAAAGGAAATACAGACCAAGTAGTAAATTCCAATCTCAACAATCTCGCCTTGATGTGCTTCCCTGATGGTAGCCTTATATGTATTCTTAATTCCTCATGCATCAAGAAGATTTGTAGAGAACTTGTCACTGCACTACTAATTTTGAACAGTATTAATAGTACTCTACAAATCTTCTTGATGCACGAAAAATTAAGAAAAAATATAAGGCACGATCAGGGAAGCATATCAAGAAGAAATTATTGGAGACTTTATAAACTTTAAATGCCACACGCTGCAGGAGACATAAAGATGTGACTCTTTTCAAAATTTGATTTTTTCTTCATAAATTCAATCAGCGACCGTCTGCAACGTTGAATGCCTCAGGAGACGGAAATATTAGCGAGCCGTCCGTGGCTTCAAACGCCTCAGGAGATGGAAATTTGAAGTTTCTTCATATATTTTTTATAGAAACCAGATCTTTTAGATTGAATCGGTCCACAATCCAACAATTCTAGCGTTCGATTTGACAATCCCAGACAATGAAAACAATAACAACAACAACAACAACAAAAGCCCTATCCCACTAGGTGGGGTCGACTACATGGACCAAACAACGCTTTTGCGCCCGATCATATCCAAGAATTTTTCGATTCGAGCAACGATCTATATCATGTATAGTACTCGTAGAATCGTGCTATTCTATGAGGCAAATTACGAATTCACGATTTCAACGACCATGGAACTCTGAAATAAAACAATTCTTCCCACTTTATGCAGAGATTTATGTGAGATGCTCACTCATACTTGTTATGTGATTGACAGGTGGCAAATGTTCTCAACAAGTTGAATTAAGTGGGGAAAATATAAATATCACTTATAAACCTGATGGTACACATATAGCTGTTGGCAACAGGGTAATATTTTTTTCTATATTATATCTTCAGCTTGCTAGTGTGATCTTCACACTCAAGTTAGACATACTCCGTAGTATTTGTCTATAGATTCACATTTAGTGTTTTTACCTGTATGCACAACTGAATAGTAATTTATCCATGCAATATATATGGCCAGCTTTTCTGTACGGTAAATTATTATTGTTAAGTTATGTTGCAGGAAGATGAACTTGCAATATTGGATGTCCGCAAATTCAAAGCTATACACAAGCGCAAGTTCAACTATGAGGTACTCCATATGTTTTTTGCTACTTACACCATGTGAAAGTTTCTTAAAATTTGATTACATGACAACTTTGTATGAGTTACTTTATTTCATAGATGGAGTTGTGAAGGGGGTATCCAACATGATTACAATGGGTTTATTTTTCTTAGCACTGGACCTGTTAATCAGGGAGGGTGTCGGGCTGTCGTTCTGGGGTTGGACCGTCTGTGGCGTGTCCATAGGGAGGGTGTCGGGCTGTCGTCCGTGACTGGTGGGACGGGTCTGGGGTTGGACCGTCAGTGGGACAGGAGCATGTGAGCCTGGGCTTGGAGGAAAAATAGGGGTTATAGGAGAGGGTGACGGGAGGGATGACAATTTGGGATATGGAAACTGATCCTCGACGAACCGAACATGACGAGAGACATAAACTTTTTGAGACACGGGTTCATAGCATTTATACCCTTTAGTGGTGGGGTGATATCCTAAGAAGACACAAGGAGTGGAGCGTGGTTGAAGTTTGTGGTGAGT